CCTATCTATCTACCTACCTAATCTATCTATCTATCTATTTATCTGCCCACCTACCTACCTATCTATTTATCTATCTATCTATGTATCTATCGAGCTAGCTGGCTATCTATCTATCTAGCTAGCTAGCTAGCTAGCTATCTATCTATCTATTTGTCTTGTCTATCTGGTCTATCTTATCTGTCTATCTATCTGATTTGAAGCAAGATGTGCATCTGCACGTACACATGCAGACAAACGAGAACGCACATTGTGTACCTTCCTTGAGGGGTCGCGATTTCCTCATGCTCGGTATATATGCTCGTTATGGTATGTGTGCATGCATGCATGCAGGCACGCATGTCTACGTATAAGTTCGTGTCGGCAGACATATACGTCAGGAGATCGGCCGAACGATGAACCATGACATGCAGCGTGTGGAGAGATCTTTGTCTACTTAGCCTTTCACTGCCTCTATCCAGGCATGAGGGTACCTGTGCCTGCGGTGTTGAAATTCAGCCAACCCCCGGCTCTTGAAGTTTCTGAGCCTTCAGCCAGATGCTATGGAAAGGGCAGCTCTACCAACGCCAGGAAGTCGGCACAATGGCTAGCAGCCACGCCCGGCAAGGCAGGATGCAGAGAAGCTTTGCGAAACCATAGCATCATGAGGTCTCCCTCCATATCTCGCTCTCTCTCGCTCTCTCTCCCCCGCTCTCTCTCTCTCTCTTTGCTTGTTCGGTTCTTTTTCTCTTCGTCTGGCTGCCTTTGCTTGCTTATTTATTGTGCTGCTTGTGTGCCAGAGAGCGACACTACTAAGCTGCGGTGCGGCTACCAGCGCCCTGCAATGCAGGAGTCTCTGCTCTCGTGCTAGACGACAGACCTCTTGAGTCCGCGAGAGAGAGAGAGAGAGAGAGCTATAGATATAATATCATAAATATATAGTATGACATAACATAATATGATATAACATAGTACAAAGGACAGTACACCACAACATAACAACTCTAACATAGCAAGACAGAATACAACATAGCACAACATAATGTAGTATCATACAACACACCTTTATATAGTTCAAGTTAACATAACCTGTACTAGTACAGTACAAACAAATTACCGAACATCACATAGCACAGTATAACATAATACTTGTGCATGAACGTGTGTGCAAATATAGATATGTATAGAGGCTGAACACGGTCACGCCAGGGCGATGCGGCAGCGGTGGCAGAGCGGCTCCTTAACGCGGCCGCCTGCAAGACACTTCAGCATAAAGTTGTTTTCCCCTCATTACAGGCATCCACGGCGAAATCATCAAAGGAAGGGTGATTTATTTGCTTTTACATGCTTGACATGTAAAGTGTCCGGAAACGATGTTGCCGTCCCCGAAGCATGCAGAGCAACTTAGAATCGTTGACAGGGGACACTGCTTCCACCCCGCCGGATGTCAAACTATGGGAACACAAGTTGTTGAGTGAGGAGTGAGTGAGTGAGTGAGTGAGTGAGTGAGTGAGTGAGTGAGTGAGAAGGGGCAATGTATATGTAGCTATTGATGCATTGAGAAACGGCCTGGGGGCCACATAGCTCAGGTGAAGCCGATAATCTTCCTTCGCGCTGCGAAATACGAGCCATCGGATCGCATTCCAATTGCTAAGTGACCGGTTGAATTCAAGGGGGTTTGGGTATTGGGGGTTCAAGCCAGCAGGAATGACACTGAGGCTAGGATGACCAACTTAGTTTAGGAGGCTTTGCAACTTTCATCAATTTTTGCATGCCCGAGTCGTCATGGGGTACTCTGGTGAAGATCTCGTCGTTCCTCCCACTCGGCATTTGGACCGTTAGCCGTGAGTGCTGTTTGGTTTGGCAAGATGCAGGGTGACAACATAGACCTGGATGCAAAGTCAAGGCTTTGGCTGCAAAAGGGTTTAGGGTTAAGGGTCGGGCATGGTGCCTGCGGGCAGATGTCAGGGAAGGATGCTTCAGCTCGAAACATCCGTCCACAAAGCATTTTTCCTAGTCATGTGGACAGGGAAGTTTCCTCGTCGCGCTGCAATGGATACTGCAGACGGTCCACTGCTTCCTAAGGCTAGACGCTCAGTCGTCCAAAGCTGGCGATGCTACTGCCGCTGGCAACCGGGCCAACTGTATTGTCCGTCGGCTTACACACACAGACGGTGACTCCTTTGGGTTATTGCAGCGATTGTGTAGGTTAAAGATTGGACGTCTGCCCTCTTACCGCCCGGTCGCACGGACAGCAAAGTGCCGATAGGAAAAGCAAATGATGTAGCCATTGCCTAGTTAATCGCTTGACGGATATATTGCGAGGGTGCAGAAAATTTGCTTTGATCAACAGAACTGTGTTGTGATGCATGGCTGGCAGTACATACACTCATTTACGGCCCACAAAGGGACCCTTAAAGGAACCCCCGCCCCACAGTAACCTGCCAAGGAAGCTCTCTCGTTCCCCTTAAAAAGGGGAATCGTGTTCTGCTCCAGGCAAGCCCCAGGCGCCGCGGAAGCGGCGGAGGGAAGAGCCCTCCTCTCATGAGGCGCCCTCAGGCGACGAAGCGGCAACTTTCCAGAGAACCCAAGAGCCCATGCAGTGGGGAGTATAGCTGAAATCAGGGCTGCGGAGCTGACCGGGTACAGGGTCGGTTTTTGTCCTCATAGTTGGGCCCTGTCCTCCCCTCATCGGGGCTTTGCTTTCATTAAGATCGAAGCCTAGACAAGGAGGCACTGCAAGAGTAAAGGCCCTAATTCATGAACGCCTCGAGATCGTTCTCGCTTGTCTCGTCAGCCAATCACCTGAACCCCCGTTCATTTGACGGCTTGAAGGCCAGGCACTCGACTCCTTCAGTCCTCGGGCTTCGGGGCTTTGGGGCCTCGGTGCTGTAGGTTTGATGTTGAGGCGCTTGGAGTAACCCCTATAGCCGCCTTTATCATAACCCTTGTTGCGGAGGTGAGGATGTGGATCGTGCCGTCGAGGCCTTTAAGGCCCTGGCATCACAGCCGGAGCAGCTCCGCGGCTTCTGAGAACCCATTCTATTTGGAACGATTGGCTTTCGTTGGCTGCACCACTTTTGTCCGTATGAGGATCACATCATATGAAGATGCTGGCTCTTCTTTCTAGTGCTGTTTTCACAGGCATGGAGCTACTGCTGTTGTTGCTGCTGCAGTCGATGCTGCTGCTGCTGCTGATGATGATGATGATGGCGACGACGACGACGATGATGGGGGGGGGGTGGTGATGGTGATGGTGATGGTGCTGATGTTATTTTAAAGTTGTTGAGGTTTTTGGTGTTGTTGATGTCGTCGTCGTCCTTGTCGTCGTGGCTGCTGCTGCTGCTGCTGCTGCTGCTGCTGCTGCTGCGGTCTTTGCGGTGGTGGTGGTGGTCGAAGCCTACAGATTGAACGAGTGCAGGCAGCCAGAAGGTGGATCAAAGCAGAATATGTAGCCGGGTGAAATCCTCGGCGCTATGAGGATTCTTTGCAAGTTTTCCCTTGGGTCCCGAAGGCACAGAGACAGCCACAAAGGTTAGACAGAACCAGCAAGTCTTTGACAGCAATAATATACCGTCCACAGACTTGTACCAGTTAAGTCTGATGCGAAGCTGTCCCTGGCTTTTCGTAACCGTGGTAATGTCAATGTCTGTAAAATAGCCTCAAAACTGGGTTTTGCGCTCGGGATGCCGCTCTTCGGCATGTTGAAGCAACCCGGCTCAACCCGATGTATCCGCGAGGCTTCTAGCCCCTTGCTGCAAACTGCTACGCTCGGCTTTGCACCCGCTGGTCGAGGCTCGTTCGTGCAGTGTTTCCAGCGTGCTCAGCAACTCAACCACGGACGACTAGAAAAAGCGAAGGCTTGTGGCGCAGTATCATTATTCAAGTTTGTTGAGCCAACTGCGCAGTGGAGCTGGACCGGTGGCGCTCCATTTAGTGTCGTAAACCGAGAGGCAACAAAACCAAGCATTGACTGATGCTGACAAGCCAGAATCGAGGCCCACAAGCGCGAGGAGAAAGCCTCGCCAGCTTTCCGCAGCTCGGGCAGGAGCAGATCGCTGCCAGTGACAGAGAGGTAAGGAATAATAGGATGTTCTGGCAAGTGGCTTCGGATGTTGTAGGAGTGTCGAGGCTATTTTGTTCTGAGCGTTGGGTCTCTCGCAGGGGCTTTGGATGACAAATGTGGATTCTGTGAACATAGCCTTCTTTGATGTCCAGCCATCCGGGGCCGCACCTCCTGCCAAGGAATTACTTGCATGCTGGGGCAGAAGTCGCTGGGCCATTTTGAATGGATGATGTGTGTGTGTGGGTTGCATCGAATCGGGTGGTTCTCTCAGCAGAGGTTCCTTTTGCGTAATAGGCATTCCAGTGTTTAGGTTTCTAAATGAATGAGAGTTTTCTGACGCTCTGAAAGGTGGGCCCTGCATAAGCAGCGAGCAGGCTCTAGAGTCCAGACTCGTGGTGTGATTGATGATTAGATAGTTGGGGCTTAGAGGCTTCCGGCTGCTTGGCTCTGTAAAAAGGCTCTGCGTGCAAATGCGGACTGGAAGTCTGGTGGAAGACTCGCATTGCAAGTGGGAGTAGCTTCCGGGCTCCCTCATCTCCTTGTTTTGTTCCTACGGCTTATTCGACATGCATTGTAACCCACGACTGAGCCGCAGCCAAAAGGTTTGCAGTAATCATTCTGCACGAACAAATCCTGCAAGCCACATGCCCTGAAGAGCCCCGAATCTAAGCCCACTCTCCCCTCGCTTGCAGGAGCCTCAGGGAACCTTACTTTGTCTCAAGCCTTGCCTGCCCTGTGCGAGCGTGACCGTCGAAGCCCTCGGAACCTTCAAACTTCCAAGCCCAAGCCTTTACACCAAACCCAAAACCCGACACCCAAAGCAGTGTCCAAGTGTAGTAGTACTGGGTCGAAGTGGTTTATTGGCCCGCAGGCCCAGAAGATAACCCAATCGCGCTGTGCCTTGCAGAACCCGCAAGATTCATAGATTTGGTACTTAACTATCTATAGTTCTGTAAGCTGTGCCCGGAACACGAAACGCGAAGGCACGCTCGTATGAGTGTATACATCTTGAGCCGTCCTTGAGATCGAAAATCATCCAACTGCGAAGGTACACTTGCAATTAGATATAATGAATAGTGTGCAAATGTGGATGGTTGTATATGTGGCTGCCAACATGTCAAGGTTGGCTTACCTCCCCCACGCCTCCGAGCCGAACAAGGGCTTATTAGCTGATTGTGCATAAGCCCAATATATGCCGTAGGCCAAATACCCATATCAAAGATGGTGCAGGGATTAAGGTTGTTCTACGGGTTTTGTGTTGGTGAAGGACGCTCATGCGGCTGCGATCTTGCCTCCATGAGTAGTCGGTCAAACAGTCTTGGGCTGTGTCCTAGAACAGGGGGGTGCGCTTGTGCACTGCTTGCGCGAAGCTTGCGCGCNNCATCTCCCCATCAACCACACATTTTTGGACGCGTCATAACAGAGTTTTCCCGGTAACTGGTGTTTCCAAATGAACTGGTGTTCCTGGGTTTTGGTTGGCTATGCCTGCTATGGTTGGAGCCTCGTCGGCAGTACCCCAAACGATGCCGTAACCAGATCGGCTCCTGCAGTAACAATGCCGCAACAGATCGGCTCCTGCAGCACCCCAAACAATGCCGCAACAGATCGGCTCCTGCAGTACCCCAAACAACGCCGTAGCAGATCGAAATGTGTTGAGTGGGTACCATAACATCAGTCGATTCTGCCTGTGCCTTGCGGGAAGCCTCTACAAACCACATATGTCTTGAGAGTTTCGAGCTAGTCCCGCGTGGTACTCTGCAAGTAGTGGTGAGGTTTGTGGACGCG